CATTCATGGATTTGATGAATAGGGTTTGTAAACCATTCCTCGATAAATTGTGATAGTGTTCATCGACGACATTCTCATCTACTCGAAAAGCCAGGAGGAGCATGGCAAGCATCTACGAGAAGTGTTGGAGGTGTTAAAGAAGGAGAAGCTTTTTGCAAAGTTCTCCAAATGCGACTTTTGGATACGGGAAGTCCAATTCTTGGGTCATGTTGTTAACCAAGAGGAATAATGGTTGACCCCGCCAAGATCGAGGCTGTAATGAAGTGGGAACGTCCGAAGAGTCCCACGGAGATTCGAAGCTTTCTAGGATTAGCCGGATATTACCGACGATTTATCCAAGGCTTTTCTTCGATAGCTGCTCCATTAACAGCTTTGACCCATAAAGGAGCTACGTATACATGGAGTGAGAAACACGATGAGGCATTCGAGAAGCTAAAGAAGAAGTTATGTGAAGCACCAATACTTTCTCTACCCGATGGAGTCGAAGATTTCGCGGTTTATAGTGATGCATCTGGAGTCGGGTTGGGTTGTGTTCTGACCCAAAGAGAAAAGGTGATAGCATACGCATCTCGACAATTGAAAGAGCACGAAAAGAACTACCCCACTCATGATCTGGAGTTGGCAGCGGTAGTATTTGCCTTAAAGATATGGAGGCATTACCTCTACGGCACGAAGTGCAAGCTCTTCACTGATCATAAGAGTCTCCAGTATCTCTTTAATCAGAAGGAGTTGAACATGAGGCAACGACGCTGGCTAGAACTTCTCAAGGACTACGACTGTGAGATACTTTACCACCCGGGTAAAGCAAATATTGTTGCTGATGCTCTCAGTCGGAAAGTCAATCTTGAAAGGAAAAGGCCAAGAGCGTTAAGAATTGAAGTCGTCTCGACGATTGTGGAAAGTATCAGGAAAGCTCAAGAAGAAGCTTTAGGAAGAATGACCGAAAGGAAGAACGTTTGGGCAAAAATTAGTATTCGGAACAAACAGTCGAGGACTGAAGGTATTCCAAGATCGAATCTGGGTACCTAAGACGGGAGGAATAAGAGATCTTCTAATGGAAGAAGCACACAAGACCATGTACTCGATTCATCCCGGTAGCACTAAAATGTATAGGGACTTAAAACCCTACTACTGGTGGCCGACGATGAAGCTCGATGTTGCGAAGTACGTGGCCGAGTGCGTAACATGTGCGAGGGTGAAGGCACAACATCAGAAACCGTATGGGAGTTTAGAACCTTTACCTGTACCCATGGGTAAATGGGAAGACATCACCATGGATTTTGTGACTAAACTGCCCAGAACGAAGAATGGTCACAACATGATTTGGGTAGTCGTGGATCGTTTCACCAAAAAGTGCACACTTCATAGCCGCCAACGAGAAGTGGTCTATGGATAAGCTCGCAAATGCTTACGTGAAGGAAATTGTAAGACTTCACGGTGTCCCTCTTACGATTGTGTCAGATCGTGATAGTCGTTTCACGTCGAGGTTTTGGAGGAGTCTACAAGAGGAGTTGGGTACAAAGTTGTGTTTGAGTACTGCTTACCATCCGCAAACTGATGGTCAGAGCGAAAGAACGATTCAGACGTTAGAAGATATGCTGAGAGCATGTACCCTCGAATTCCAAGGGAATTGGGACGAGCACTTACCTCTAGTAGAATTTTCCTACAACAATAGTTTTCACTCGAGCATCAAGATGGCACCTTATCAAGCCTTGTATGGACAGAAGTGTCGTACGCCGTCTTGTTGGCTTGAAGCCGGAGAGAAGCAGTTTATGGGCCCCGAGATGGTCCATGAGACTGCTGAGAAATTGAAGGTGATTAGGGAAAGAATGTTAGCAGCTCAGGATCGTCAGAAGAGCTATGCCGACAAGAAAAGACGACCGATAACCTTCGAAGTCGGGGATTCCGTTTTGCTTAAAGTCTCACCGTGGAAGGAACTTATACGATTTGGGAAACGAGGAAAGTTGAGTCCAAGGTTTATTGGACCGTTCAAAGTTCTTCAGAAGATTGGGAACCAAGCTTACAAGCTGGAATTGCCCGAAGAACTCAATGGTATTCATAACACCTTCCATGTGTGTTATTTGAGGAAATTCATGGGAGATGTTCCCGACATAATTCCAATCTCAGAGTTAAGGATGGATGAGAATAAAAGGCTGATCGAAGAGCCTGAGGCAATTGTTGACCGTAGGACTAAGAAGTTACGACGCAAGATGGTCGACTTAGTGCTAGTCCGATGGAAACATTCGAATGGGCCAAATCTCACTTGGGAAACAGAGGATGACATGTTGAGTCGCTATCCACATCTGTTTGCTGATGCATGATTCCGGGACGGAATCATCCTAAAGATGAGAGAATTGTAACGCCCGGGTTTCAGGGTTAAGCATTTTTGTCAATGTAATAGTCTCGGTCAACCATTGTAATTCTTTTTGAAGCAATAAAGGTGAAATATTTGAGTATTATGTGAATTATGTGTGTTTATGTGTTTATCATTTAATTATAAATGTATAATTAATAAAGAATAAAACTGAGCGTCAAAATTAAAGTGTGAGATAATCCCGATATCTCTACATAAAGTTGTAGAATATGTCTCAAGGTTTCCGTGCATATAAGGAATGCCGAAATCCGAGTTATAACGAAGAAGTTATGACCCGTCGAAGTTTCACGACAGAACCGACACGATACCGGGAAGCGTAAATAGTGAATTTATGATAGAGCGAGATTTAGCCTTAGCGATCTAAACAAAAGTCGTAGAATATGTTAAACTAAGAACATCGATAAAAAGAACGCCCAAATCTGACTTCGTATGAAGAAGTTATGAGATTTTGAACAGACCAATCCTGTCCCGGCCTGTTAAAAATATAACTTTATAAATAAATCAAAATTAGCCGACGGAGTCTAAACAAAAGTTGTAGAGTACGTCTCCACCTACGCGTAGATATAAAGAACGTCAAAAACGGAGTTCGTATGAACGAGTTACAAATTATAATAACATATTTACGTATTAAAATAAAGTATAAATCATGTATACGTACACATATATATACATATGTATATATCATTAGAAAGGTATCGACGATGCGGTCATTATAAGACTAATGTTGAGTTCTTTCGACATTAGTTTAGTACAAATATCATTAAATCCATTTAAAATAGTATTATAGAGGGGTGTTTAGTTGTTTATATAACTAAAAGGTCATTAAGTAATTATGGAGGGTAGTTTTTGAAAATTTAATTAGTATAAATAAGAGCCTTGGGCTCTCATATTTCTTGCACCATTCTCTTGATTCAAGAGTCTTTCTCTCCTTATCCCCCGAGCATTTCGGTCCCTCATGATTCGACTTCTCTTTCTGTACTTTAGTATAGTAAGGTGAGCGTTGAAGCGCTCCACGAATCTTTCTTAGAAAGATTCATCGACGAAGTTCTGCCCCTGCAGAGCCCGACTCCTAGCTAAAACCCCCTTGTAAGTAAGTTATGCTTACCTTATTTTAATATAGCTTATATTTAAAATTAGTATTGTTATTATGAACTTATAATAAATACTTGGGCTATTATTATGGGTTATATAAGTATTTTTTTTTAACGCTTATATAATAATAATAATAGTTAGACTATTAATTAGTCTCGGCGAATAATAGACTAAACTCTAGTGGTAATAATACTAGGTTTCTTCAAAGAAAATTCTATTTAAGAAGCGAAGCGCTGTCAGAGTTCGGAATCACCACCTTTTCAAGTGAGTGCATAGTTACTTTCATCTTACACATAGATATGAAGTATTTTATATATTACGTGCTATGTGTGCATATTATCTATATACTTGTTATCTATGCTGGATGAATGTTTTTATACAAGTTTTAAATGATTTAAACTGTATATGTATTTTATATCTACAAAAATGTTGGGGTAAAACATGGGTAGATGTAATAAGACGATGTGTGATAAAATGATGAGAGGCCTCAATGTTGTTGTTGTTGATCCAGTCATCTAGAGGAGTATAGATGACGACCACAGACTCTTCTAGACAGTCCAGTGGAACACTAGCCGGGTCGCAACCTGTAGGTGTTGTGAACGATGTGTTCACCGGTGTACTCCATCCCCCACATGGTTGCCTATTAGGACATTTATTGCTGAGGAATCCCCTTAGCAGTAGTGTCCATCCCGATGATGATCCTTAGGCTAGGTCCCTTATGATAGGTGTTTAGGGACGTAAAGTGAGGATAACGGGAACGGGTAATCGGGTTATTGTTGATTGATGAAATTAATAAACTTATTTATTGTGGGTTGAAAACCCTATGTGCTCACCAGGCTCCCAAGCCTAACCCACTCAGTTTTATGTATTACAGGTAGTGACGCATGAGCATAGGTGTGATGTTTTGGACGAGGGATTACGGATATAGGCCTGTAGATATGAAATAATGTAGTAAGGCTTATATTGTACTGTTTATACTTTTGATCTGTACGAGCATGACATCCCGAGTCTTTTAATGAAATACATTTCTATGGAAATGCTTTTGATAAATCTTTATCATATTATTGTTTTGGGACATATTCCGCAACCCTTTTATTAAAAGATAACTCTGATTTTGAAATAAAGTATAAACAAAACCGGTCTTTTCTGGCCGTGATTTTGGGGATGTCACACTATCTGAAATCAACATAAAACATGAGCAGTACGGGAATTCTAACAAAATACATGAGTTGAACATTATTTATCTAAATGACATGAAAATGTACGAAATATGATGCTAAAATGATAATGAAAACTACCCTATAAAATGCATAAAATGGCATCTAACAGTTATCTATTTTGTAAAATTCGTAATTGTTTTGTGAATTGGACTAAGTAACAAGTACTAAACTGATTTCCATCGAATGAATTTAGTATAAGTCTTATTCACAGGGGCGGACACAAGATTTTACAGTGGGGGTTTCACGGGAGAGTTACGCGTTGCACAGTAGTAGAAAAAATAAAATTTTCGAAAATTATCGAAAAATTTTCCACTATGGCAGGAAAAGTTAGGGGTTGCCGGTGCCACCGTGGACCACCCGTAGGTTCGCCCCTGCTTATTCACACATTCTTACACTCCTGAGCTTGTGAGGAGTATTGGGTGTTCTTGGAAACATTCACATAAAGCTTAATGCAATCTTTTAATCTAATTCTAAGAGCTTGTTTAGATTAGGTTAGTAAGGTTAGGGTTAATTAAAGAGTTTGTCTTGGTTACTTACTGTGGTGAATGGGAAGTGTTAGAGCTTGTTAACACTTTCAAGTACCAACTTAGATAGAATTGAACAAATATCTTGTCATCTTTGAATTGTATTGCTAAGTTGTCATAAATAGAGTTGGAGTCTTTACAATTTCTGAATTAATTAACTTATTTAGTCAATTACTTGTGTCTTTAATTATTTGTTCTAATCATTGCAATCACCCCCCCCCCCCCCCCAATTCCCTCTTTAGTGTTGATGACCAAAGTATCATGCGCAAAGAGGTATATACTGATTGTCCTGTGTCTCTGTGGATCGATCCTACATGCCTTGTACTACCTTTTAGTGCAATATAATAGTGTTCTTTTGGAGTATATTGTACCCCTTTATTTGTTGGGTTTGACACACCTAACAATCTTTTTAAAAATAAAAATAAAAAATAGACCCATATTTATAATTTTTTTCCTCTACAAATAAAGACCAATATTCTTATGTTTTATATAGTTTTAATTATTTTATAATATTAAAATGTTGGATTGGTTAATGGAGTTGATAAAAATTGTTATATTTGATTAGATATATATAGATGAAAGAGAAAATATATTTTAATAAATGATTAGGTTGGTTTTAGTTATGAAAAAAATAATTTTATTTGTTAGATTAAACTCACACAATCAAGGTAAATGTATCTCAGTTATGATCAGTAACAATGCTAATAATAATATAGTCTATTCTCACGTTTCGTTTTCCTCAACGATATTAATTTGTAATAAATAGAAAAACTTTCAACAAAAGATCTCCCGCATTTACGTATTAACGTATTTAATTCATTGCCAACCCGAAAATATTTATTTAATTCATTAACAACTCAAAAATATATATAACTCATTATATTTTGTGGTTTGATTATTATATTTAAGTTTCGTTAATAAAAACCATCCAAATTTGATAATTTTTATATGGACCGTTTTGTTATGCTATACTAATTAAAATAGAAAACTTATCAAAATTTAATAACTTTAGCGTATCAAAGTTAATCAAAATTTTCATAAAAGCATTAAAGTTGACAATTTTCTATAATAACCGTCTTAGCAAGTTATAATAGAAAAATATCTAACTTAGATGATTTTTTAATAAAACAACTTAAATATACTAAACCATAAAATGGATAAAATATGACAACTTTTATTAACTAGAGTTCTGATTATATGAATCCATTAAAAAAAGTTATATATAAAATTTAAATATTAAGCATATTTAAATAAGTATGTATAAAAAAAATCTTTGACATATTTTAAAGAATCCTCCTCAATTACAAATTTTAAAAATTTCATTGAATTTGGAAATTTTGAACACATTAGAGAAATGAGTAAATTATCGAATTTATAAGGAAAATGAGTCAATTATTGGATTCTTGAAATTGAAAAACATTTATTAAATAATAAAAAAATAAAAATCCTCTAAATCGTCTTGTGGTAAAATTTACCAAAATATACAACATTTATTTATGTATTTATTAGTATAAGATAAGATTTCAGTTTTTGTAACTATTTTATTATTTTATATAGAAATACCTTCATAACAAAAATTCCGAAATCTATATATTTATTGATTACAACCCAAAATTCTTTTATTTTATTTTGTTACATGAAATTGTTTTAGATATTGAATAAATACATACACATATATATTTTTTTAAGTTTTCATTTTCGTCTATAATTTTAAAAAATAAAAGTCGTTTACATTGAAAAACGTTTCGGGTAATCCATCATCTCCTCCAAAAAAAAAAAAAAAATCAAGAAATCCAGACAATAATGGTGGAGCAGAGCTACCAGATTAATAAAAACCCTACCCTATCTCTCGAAGCATCATATAGCTGCTTTGCTTTGCTGATCATCTTGTTGACACTGTAGGTCGAAGCAATTATCAAGCTTTTGAGCATCCAGTTCTCGTATCCCCAAACTAATTTAGGTTTTCGATTCATTTCGCGTAACGGTATATACATACGTCTTGTTATATCTATAGATTGGTGAAACGCGTAGACACATTTGTTCGATTCCATCCGTATTCAATCCATTTCCAGCTTTTATCATCATCAATTTTGAATACCCAGATCAGATTGATCATATACCGCTCCTGCTGCTCCCCTGGGTGTTTAGGTGACGTCTGTGTAAGAAACAGAGAAGGGGAAATGGGAGTATGCGGATCGAAGGAAACCGGTTGCATACGAGTTGGATTGGGTTCTCGGAAGAAGAAGAAACATGAAGATCGTTCAGATGGAGACGCAATACCAAAAGTCCGTGAAAGAAGAAGAAGAAGATTAGGGAGGAAGAAAACAAACGGTGTTACTAATCGCTATTCATCTCGGAGCAAAGTCGATCCTTCTGCTGATGCCTGTAATTCCATTGATCGTTCTTATCGCAACCCTACATTTCAAGGTAAATTCAAAATCTCCTTTTGTCACTTTCAGATTCTCAATCCACATCCAGTTTCAGATTAGGGTTTCTGATTTACACCTACATTAGTTGACCATTGCTTGGTAAAAACTGTTTATTACTTTTTTTTTTAAAGCAGCTGCAAAGACATGATTCAAGAATCTGAGAATCATCCATAGCTTTAATTGGGTATCTGATTTTATTATTATGATTTATGATTCTTCATTCTTCAAGTTGAAATAATGACTTTTATGATTTTATCCCATTCCCCCTACAACCCCTTAAAGGCTATGTCAATTGGTAGCTACCATATTAATTAACTAGGGTTCCTTTCAACTCTCAGAATTAGGGTCCACTCTTGATTCCCATCTTTAAATTTCTTTCTTCTGTAATCTGTACATCAAAAAAAATAAAAAAAAATTCATCTTAAATTATTTGATTTTCATCAGGAAGTACAGAATGGTTTGATACTGCAACAGGGATTGAATCCGATGGTGATGAAGATTTTTACAGCATTCAAGATGGTAAAAGAAGTTTTTGTCAAAGATTTTTACGAAAATTACTAAAATTTTGATTTTGATTCATGGGTTTTCTTAAAAACCATCTGAAAATCCACTAATTATGATTTTCTTGAAAAAAAAAAATAAAATTTCCAGATACTGTATCTCAAAGCAGTTCCATTAGTGCATCAGTAACTCCAAGATTTTCTGATCATGTCAATGGTGCTTCCTTTTCAACCTCTGAATCTTTAACAAAACCGAATGACCTGCCACCTGTCGCCACATCAGCTGGATACGAAAACGGATCTCACATTTTTGGATTACAAAATAATTGTCTTCCATGTCTTAATTGCACAACCTCAACAGATGTAAAGAGCAAATCATCATGTTCAAGTCCTCAAAGTGCTAAAAAGAAAGTAACTTCAAGACTTTCTTTTAAATGGAGAGAAGGCCAATCAAATCTTTCAATTTGTAAGACTCTCAATTTAATATAAATCATTTTTCTTTCTTTTAGTTATTGTTTTAAATATTTGTTACATGTTTTTTTGTATGTTTCAGTGTCACCAAAAGCTATATTGCAAAGACCAATTGCAGGGTCTCAAGTTCCATATTGTCCAATAGAGAAGAAAATGTCTGATTGTTGGTCAACGCTTGATCCAAATACTTTTAAAGTCAGAGGACATAATTATATAAGGTAAAAATAATTCTAAGAGTAAATTACTGTAATCGTCCCTGTGGTTTGGTCAAAATTGCACATTTGATCCCTAACTTTTTTTTTACACTTGGATCATCCCTGTGATTTGATTTTGTTGCGTTTTTCGTCCCTGTGGTTTGATTTTGTTGCATTTTTCATCCCTTACATATATAAAGTTAGGGACCAAACATGCAACTTTTACCAAACCATAGGGATGAAAAACGCAACAAAATCAAACCACAGGGACGATCCGAGTGCAAAAAAAAAAGTTAGGGACCAAACGTGCAATTTTGACCAAACCACAGGGATGATTTCAGTAATTTACTCTAATTCTAAATATAAGAGTTTTTACTTTTTGGTTTTTTCGCATTGTTATTTTTTTTCTTTTTACAGAGATAAAAAGAAAGAAAATGCTTCAAATCAAGCTGCTTTTTACCCAATTGGTGTTGATGTTTTTTTATCTCCTCGTAAAATTGATCATATTGCAAGATTTCTTCAACTCCCAAAAGTCGAATCATCTGGAAAAATCCCTCCTCTACTTGTTGTAAATCTTCAAGTATGTTGTAAATCTGTAAAAACGTGCTAAACTCGGGGACCAAAATCGCAACTTATTCGAAGATAATAATTTCCTTGAATTTTGTGCAGATACCATTATACCCCCCTGGAATATTTCAACATGAATACGATGGAGAAGGAATGAGTTTTGTTTTCTACTTCAAAATCTCTGAAAACTACGAACAACTCCCAATCCATTTTCAGGAAAACATAAGGGTAAAATCGTCATTTTCCACAAACCCTTTTTTCACTCCACTATTTACTGATTTAAATTAAAATACAGAAAATAATCGACGATGAGGTGGAAAGAGTGAAAGGATTCCCTGTAGACACGATTTCACCATGTAGAGAAAGATTAAAGATTTTGGGTCGTGTAACAAATTTAGAAGATCTTCATTTAAGTTCAGCTGAAAGAAAACTCATGAACGCGTATAATGAAAAACCCGTTCTCTCTCGCCCTCAACATGAGTTTTTCTTGGTAAAATTACGTTTATACCCTTGCTTTGTAGTATGCGAATTGGATAGTAATTGATATCGGTATTATACACAGGGAGAAAATTACTTTGAAATCGACCTAAATATGCATAGATTCAGTTACATTTCAAGAAAAGGGTTTGAAGCATTTCAACAGAGACTAAAACATTGTATCCTAGATTTCGGTCTCACAATTCAGGTATTATTATATTATTATTATTATTAAATAATTGTTTTGGGTGATTTCTAAATTCTAAAACGATATTTTTATTAATTTGTGGAACAGGGAACTAAGGCTGAAGAATTACCGGAGTGTATTTTATGCTGCCTTCAATTGAAAGAAATCGATTACAACAATTACAATCTACTCGGGTTTTAAAGCCAAGCAAAATAATAAACTATTTTCTTTTTTTTTTCTTTGAAAAAGAAAAAAGAATTTCAATGAGAATATTTTCCGGAGTGTACAGGAAACTAGACTCTGAAATTTAAATAAAATAATGTAATTGGAAACAATGCATATCGATTCGTTAAACATTCAACATTCAACATAAACAACGGAATTTAAAAAAAGAAAAAAAGAAAACTACATATATAAATTGAAATTACGATTATACCCTTCAGTACTCGGAATACCCATCGAATAATGGCGGAAAGTCCAATTGCATTTCCCGGTCTCGGTTTAAGATAGACTCCACAAAAGAAATAGAATTAGTCGGGATGTCTAATATGTTCTTTGATGGATCTACCCCTAACCCTAATCCTGATCCTGATCCATTGTAACTATATGTGTTTTCACCTGAAATAATCCCAAGGTCGGATTCGTTTGTGTACTCTTGTTCTTGGTCACCGATGAGGTAGTCGGACCAAATGGAGGGAGAAGATGGTAAATTCACATGGGGGGTCTTTGATGCGGGTGATGACGTGGAAGATGAGGCGGCTTCATTGATGTGAAAATGGGGAGGGGTGAGGAGGTTTAGTTGGTGGTGTTGGTCTTGGAATGGGTCGATTATGGTTAATGAACTGTCTGCGTGTGAGAAATCTAGCGGTTCGGGGTGGAGGTGATCGGTGGTGGTGGTGGTGGGGCGGGGGGTGGTGGTTGGGATGATTTCGTTGATGTTTCCGTAATCGGAAAGGAGTTGACCAAAGGGTTTGTGGGTGATGGGATCGATTCCCATTTTGGAAAGTTTTTTCTTTAGTTTTGTGTTCCAATGATTCTTTACATCGTTGTCTGTTCTTCCTGGTAGTTGTTTTGCGATTAAAGACCATCTGAAGATAAGATACAATACATAGAAATTTAGCTGGCGTTTGGTTTGTAGAATATGAAAGAGTTGGAATCTGTTATGTATTTGGTCGATAGAAAATGAAATGAAATTTGATAACAAATAAATAGCTTTTACAATTCTCACTTGGAAATATATATTTATTATTTTAATATATGTGAAAGAAAAGTTTTTAATATGAAAATTAAGGCTGAAATTGAATTCATTCCATCCATATCTAGGAATGATAGAAAGCAATCAATTATTGAACTAAGTTTTGTTACAATATGTATATGTTATGGAATGAAATGGAATCGTTAATTTCAATTTTATATAATTTCGCTTGAATCCTTGGTGTTTTAATATAAGAAATTAGAATGAGATTCCATCCAAATTTAGGAATGGTGAAATCAATCAAGAAAAGAATTTGAGTTAAGCCGATGGAATTGAATTTTATCTATTTATCAACCGATCTTGAATTCCAATTCCATCCAATTTTGTTGGAATCCTTGAACCAAAAAAACATTACTTGCATCGATTGGTTCTTTTGAGATGTTAAATAGACCGGTAACATAAGTTTTTTTTTTGTTAGTGCAAATCAAAACAACTTGGGTTGGTTAACCTACCAACCACAATTTTTCTTTGAAAAATAACAAATGTCTTTTTACAAAAATTATATTGTTGAAATAATACTCTATTATACGAATAAAGCCAAGTTGTAAGCATTTAAATAACATTTGACTTGTCACATGATACAAAATCCAAATCAAGAAAATTTTAGGTAATTTAATATGTTTTCTTTTATCCTTACACTTATTTGACTGATTTTAGGTAATATAACATGTTTTCTTGTTTTGGGAACAGTGACATGAAATGTAGAGAAGAAACATACCTACTACCAATGGCTTGATGATACCTCAAAATAAGTTGTTCTTCATGAGGAGTAAAACTATCATGTTTAAGATCGGGTCTAAGATAATTCGTCCATCTCAACCTACAACTCTTCCCGCATCTATTAAGACCTGTTACAAGTATAAATGCATAATGTACTACAAGTCATTACAAAACTTCACAAAAATAATCAAAAGTTTGTTAAGAACATAACATTAATTAAGAACCTGCTTTTTGAGGAACCAAAGTCCAATTTCCAATTCCATGACTTGCAACATATGCAAGAATCTTGGCATCTTCTTCAGCTGTCCATGGCCCTTTCTTAACATGCGATTTATCGCAACAAGGAGGCCTTCTTCCCATCAATAATTACACACAAAAAAGACTAAAAATGGTGAATGTGAATGTAAATGGTGATGCAATTTGAATGCATATAATGGGGATGTGAGAGGCTACATTTAACAAGTGCTAAGGCAACAAAAGCATGTAGAATTGGCTCCCTAATGAACATTTTGCATGATCTCTTCATTCACCCTTAACATGACATGAAAAATATTTCTCTCTCTCTCTCTCTCATGTGCTTGGTTCCTCTTGCATTACTATATGAATGGTTTGTAAACCGAAATAGTAATGTTGTGATGACTTGTACCTTATGCAACACAAGTTGTACGTTAGTTGTGTATAACTCAGAAAGATTCAAAATATGAAGGAGAGGTGCTTTGTGTGAAAGGCAATGAAATGAATAAAAGTGAGCTTCCTTTGTTTTGTAAACTCAGAATTAGGTGGCATGAAACCCTACATTTTCCCTTTTTAATTCTTCCTATATTTTCACAAATATAACGTAACTTTACTCTTATAGTTTACATTTTATTCGACTAACACATAATAGTATAATACCAATGTATAACTTAAACCTCATAAAATGTATTTTGTTATTTTGTTATTTCGCTTCAAAAAGAAATTCATCTTATATTATATCTTTTCCCCATATCCTTTAACTCAAAGATTACACACACCAACTACCTTTATACCCAAATTCTCACACACGAAAAATATAGACACGAGAAAGTGTATCTACTAACATACTTTGCAACTCTTCCTACAATATCCGGAACCTTCCGGAGACCCAACCATATAAACAGGATTCCTTTTACATTCACCAGCTGCCGCCCACATGGCGCAATTCGCATTGTCATCCGTACAGTCATCACTTGTGTTATCTGACTTGTCAAAGCTCCTGACATGGATCCATTTTGTTGCTGACCATTTCTCGCCTTCTATCACGGGGCAACTCCCGTGTAAGCTTAATACATCGGTTGTAGCATTTGGATGAAGACTGAAAAACAACAACGCGTCCCCCTTCTTCGGTTTCACTACAAATGTAACACACAGTATAATATCAGAACTCTGCAGTTAAGCGTGCTCAGGCGAGAGCAGTACTACCAGGATGGGTGACCTCATGGAAAGTCGATATATTGATACATGTGCCTGGGATGTCACATCGTGTTGTGTGGGTCCCATCGTGGATAGTTGATTTGGATTTCGATTACGAATTTAAATAATGTGTTTTGAAGTAGAATTTTCATGGAATAGGAAAAAAATTAATACCTGCGTAACCTTTTTTAGCACATTCGGACCAATCTTCGTTAGCTTTCGGTTGAGATTCTTTTATCTGCGAAGATTTAAAAAAAAAAAAATTACAAATTGATAATAAATCATCTTTCGGATGGTGGAAATTATATAATGTATGACTTTATGCTAAAACTTTAAAAAGGTTTAAAAAACAAGATTATAATAGCATTGTACTTTAAAAAATTTACCCAATTATAACAATGTCATTCAAAATACGAAACAATTTCAATGCATTGATAAATAAATAAAAAAGATTAAAAGGGCAATGTTGTAATATAATGAAATGAAAGTATATTGCTATTTCTTGAATATACAAAAAAGGGTCGTACCTCTGACTCTGGAAACACAGTCTCACCACCCTTTTGGACATTAGAGAGATACATAAGAACAGTAGCGATCCTGTGTCCACCCATGGCTTGATTGGCTTTATCATGGAAGTAATCCCAATGTGGTTCGTATTTTTGACCATTTTCATAATGCAATATTTGCATAGCTTCTCCATTTTCAACAGGAAGAAATGTCCAAGCAGAAATCCTTGATTCAATTCCAGCGATAACTTTATCCTTCAAATCAAAGATCAAACATTACATATATTGTTCAGAATTCTTCATTGATGTTTCCATATGTTTAGGTTTGATTATGAACAGAATCACAGATGAATCGGTTTACCTGAGCTTTGTTGAGAAACATGCCGGAGCTTGTTCGGACTTCACTTTCTATGCTCTTACCAGATTCATTATCGGCAACCATGGATTTCTCGAGCTTATCCTTCGCCTGATCGTCCAAATTCATGTCAAATTGGTTACAATACAAAGAGATTTTATAGAAGGAGATCAGAAATTGATAGTGTTACTAACCAATTGAATGAGATGATCGCACTCTTCGTCTGTTAAAAAGTTTCTATACAGAAACGCCCTGTACAGATTTCAAATTTTAAACTGATGTTCATGCAATCAGACAACCAAGAACATGAAATAGATGATTCAAACCTTGGATGCCACGAAATTTGGGTGACTCGAGTGGGATCAAAAGGGTGGCCATAAGAATCACCATTCGGCAATCTGATAATCGACCCACGTCTGGAAAAAAAATTGAAATCTCATTAGCGAAAAGTCAAAATTAAGTTAATTGTACGAGAATTTAGTAAAGAAGAGATACATGTTGCGTAATCCTGAAGACTGGATGGAGAAATTGGGGAAGAACAGGAGGGAACAGAGGAAGTAAGGAATGAAGAATGCTCGAAAACCCATGATGGAACTTCAAAAACCCTTTTCGATAATTATTAGAGGGAAAGAAGGGTTTATGAAATAGAAAGTTCGCGATGATCTTTTTGATCTGAAAATGAAAAGAACCAGTTTGAGCTGATCAAGAAGGGTAGATATGATATGGTGAGTCTGTAAACGGATCGGGTCACGTTCAATACTTCAATGGAGGCGCCCACTGGATTCAGCGACTTTGAAGAACAGGAATTGAATTCAATGGAGGGTTTGGTATAGAAGAAAAACCGACAACGCTCATGCTTTAAAGGAATTTTAATTTCCATTTTTAGCTCAAAATTGAAGAAAAAGAAAGAGTCAATGAATTAAAGTATTAAACACGCTTTTTTGTTTTTGTACTAATATTCTCATGTTTATGTTATTATTGGAAAAAAGATGAAAATGGAATAATATAAAATTATTGAAAAAGTATTATTATATTATAAAAAGTTTAAAGATTTAAATTAA